TTGGTACTGGGACTGAACTCAGGTCCTTGTGCTTGCGAGGCAGGCAGCAGAACCACTGAGCTATAACCCCAGCCCTGACTTTGGTTTTTATGAGACAGGGCATTAAGTTACTGAGTTGCCCAGGCTCTGAGTGAACTGAACGTGTCACCCTCCTGCCTCTTCCTTCCGAGTGCTGGAATGACAGACATGCATCACCAGGGCCAGCTTCTATTGACTGCATCATTTATTTTTCCTCCAGTTTTCTTGAAGTGAAGAAGAAAAGTTGTTTCCAGGAGCACTTGGCACAATCTGAGCCTGTTTTTGCCTCTGCATGTACATTTTTGGACAGTTTGTTAGCTAATGACATACCATTCATAATCCCATTTGTCAAAATTAGATTTGTGAGGAAAAAATATTCCAGACATACCCTGCCCCTTCACCGTTTATGTCAATGTGACCATGAGCTCCTATTTTAAAGGTTAGACAACCTCTTGGGTTGGAAAAATGGTTCTATGCTATCCACAGGCTTTCCTGAGCTGACAAGATGGCTGTGAATCAGGATACAAAGAGGACTTCTCCCTATTTACTGATTGCATCTGACTGCATTGAAAGGATAACATGTTTTCTTTTGGTAATAAACATTTGGAGAACAGTTCCCAAGTTTTATTTCTCAGAATCAAGGGGTTGCCATAATATGAAGTAGAGAAGGAAAAGAAGATGTGCATACTAGAACCTTCCTAATTCCAAAGAATGTCACTCTGCTTTCAAATAGCAATAGGCTACATGCGAAAACAACTGTATAACATAAATGTGTCATTTTAAAAAATTGATTTTTGACACCTGGAGAAAAAAGGATATTAAATGAAATAGTATGGTGAGAAAGAGATCTAATGCATGGTTAGACTTTGCTAATTGTTCCCACAAATCCACTGTCCTTTTGAATAGGATGGAAGAAATAAAGATAGGTAGAAAAGAGATAAGAAAAAGCATAATTTTAAAATGAAAATCATAACTTCAGGACACAAGCAAGGCTTACCTTTTATTCTTTTTCTTTTCCCCCTAACACAGTAAGCCTGGACAACTTGCTTTCACCTGTAAATGAGTGCAGCCACTCCAGTCCTACTGTGCCAACTCCGCTGTAAAATAGGCTCCCTCTATAAATGGACCATCACCTTTCTCCTTGTGGCCCACACTCTTCCAACCCCCAAACCATGACTAGATGGGCAAATTCCACAGATTTCCACTGCCCAAACCACGTAAATATTCCCAGCTCCTCTCTCTGTCTCTCTTGCATCTGTACTTTATTTGAGTATGTGATTTAAATTTTGGTCTAATAAACCTTTTTGTGTCTTTTAGTGATGTGTCCTGAAAATTCTTTTCCTGTGATGGAAGCCAGTGAACCTGAAATCTATTCCATGGGTAGTGTGGGTTAAGCTCCTTTCTTCAGCTTCAAGAACCTCCTAAGAACTTGACCAGTAACATTTTCTCTTCATGAGCCAGCCAGGAGATAAAAGGAGGTATCATGACTTTGGTAATTTTAGCTGAAGAATTTTTTTGTTTGTTTGTTTCCTCACTTCTCCCAACACCTTGCCCTCTGTTGCATACTTTATTTCTTTTCTTTTTTTCTCTTCCTTTCTGAAAACCTCAGCAGCCCCAGGTGTTCCTCCTTTTAAGCAGTTAGAGGCTCTCAACTCCCTAGAAAAAAGATTGCTTACATATAACAGCACTGAAGATAAGAGCTAGTGGCTGCTCTCACCAGAAACGAGAGGTGATGTCAAGAGGTACCCTCTGTAATGAGCAGTGGCCTCATTCTCTCTCAGGTCAACATAACCCCCTCCTGGGTCAGGAAGTAAAATCTGCTCCTGAGGAGATACAGATAAAGACAGATGCATCCAGAGTCTCCAAGAAGGTTTCTCATACAACTGTCATGGGAAACTGAGTCCTGACAATACAGGAGAAGCAGAACTCCCAACTTGCTAGATATCAGCTATGCCTAGTTCACGTCCCCTGGAACAGAAGAAGGAATTCTCAGCTGGCAGACGGATGCCCGTCTGGACTTCCTGGACCAGGCGGTGCTAATTACAGCCCAATTCGAAGTCACTGCTTATCCCTTGGGAGGCACAGAGGTCTGGCCATTGCATCTTGCCTTGAGGCCTGGTCTTCGGATGCACCTCCAGCCACAACTTATTTTAAAGCGATGGATTTGTAAACATAAAGTATGAATGTTCAGATTTATTATTTTGAAAAACACTTTGGAGTACATGCCCTCGGATAGGCCTGAAGCTTTTATGGCTTCACCTAGCCCCCTTCCTGGCAGTGTTTCCCACAGGACCTGACTAGGCTCGAGAGTGACTCATCACCTCGCGAAACAGTCAAACTAAGTGAGTTGGAGCTGAGTGTCAGAGGGATGAGAGGACAGAAAGGAGAAGAAAAGAAAAGATGTAGAACAGAGGGAGGTAAGAAAAGAGCACTGAGCATTCCAGGCAGTAGCAGGCTCTGTGACAAATCCTTGAAGGCCTGAAACATAAGGCATTGTGATTATATTGTCTAATCTTTTATAAATGTAATATAGCACACACATGAAAGGATACATTAAATATAAAAGTTCATTCTATTTATGGATACATATTGGATAACATCAAGCCAGGTAACAATCTTAGAACCTTTTGTCTGGTCCCAGAGCACTACAGCCATGCAGCAGAATGACACAACTTCTAGACCCCTTTGCCCTGTGGTGATAAAGTTTCCAGTTAGGATGGGTGTGAAAGACCGAAATTGTTTCTCCCTAAAATTCATATGTTGAGGTGCTAAATCCTATTTTGACTATATTTGGAGTAAGGAGGCCATTAGGGTGAAATAGAATCCTAAGGGTGGAGCATCAGTCCAATGGATTAGAGACCTTAAAGGAGAAATATCAGAGAGCTTCCGATCGTCATCTCTGTGATGTAGGACACAGCGGGAAGGCAGCACCTACCAGCCAGGAAGAGGGTCCCCAAAGGGCGTCACTGGTGCAACATTTAGTTTTTGACCAGCTATTTACTGATTGCATCTGACTGCATTGAAAGGATAACATGTTTTCTTTTGGTAACAAACATTTGGAGAACAGTTCCCAAGTTTTATTTCTCAGAATCAAGGGGTTGCCATAATATGAAGTAGAGAAGGAAAAGAAGATGTGCATACTAGAACCTTCCTAATTCCAAAGAATGTCACTCTGCTTTCAAATAGCAATAGGCTACATGCGAAAACAACTGTATAACATAAATGTGTCATTTTAAAAAATTGATTTTTGACACCTGGAGAAAAAAGGATATTAAATGAAATAGTATGGTGAGAAAGAGATCTAATGCATGGTTAGACTTTGCTAATTGTTCCCACAAATCCACTGTCCTTTTGAATAGGATGGAAGAAATAAAGATAGGTAGAAAAGAGATAAGGAAAAGCATAATTTTAAAATGAAAATCATAACTTCAGGACACAAGCAAGGCTTACTTTTTATTCTTTTTCTTTTCCCCCTAACACAGTAAGCCCGGACAACTTGCTTTCACCTGTAAATGAGTGCAGCCACTCCAGTCCTACTGTGCCAACTCCGCTGTAAAATAGGCTCCCTCTATAAATGGACCATCACCTTTCTCCTTGTGGCCCACACTCTTCCAACCCCCAAACCATGACTAGATGGGCAAATTCCACAGATTTCCACTGCCCAAACCACGTAAATATTCCCAGCTCCTCTCTCTGTCTCTCTTGCATCTGTACTTTATTTGAGTATGTGATTTAAATTTTGGTCTAATAAACCTTTTTGTGTCTTTTAGTGATGTGTCCTGAAAATTCTTTTCCTGTGATGGAAGCCAGTGAACCTGAAATCTATTCCATGGGTAGTGTGGGTTAAGCTCCTTTCTTCAGCTTCAAGAACCTCCTCAGAACCTGACCAGTAACATTTTCTCTTCATGAGCCAGCCAGGAGATAAAAGGAGGTATCATGACTTTGGTAATTTTAGCTGAAGAATTTTTTTGTTTGTTTGTTTCCTCACTTCTCCCAACACCTTGCCCTCTGTTGCATACTTTATTTCTTTTCTTTTTTTCTCTTCCTTTCTGAAAACCTCAGCAGCCCCAGGTGTTCCTCCTTTTAAGCAGTTAGAGGCTCTCAACTCCCTAGAAAAAAGATTGCTTACATATAACAGCACTGAAGATAAGAGCTAGTGGCTGCTCTCACCAGAAACGAGAGGTGATGTCAAGAGGTACCCTCTGTAATGAGCAGTGGCCTCATTCTCTCTCAGGTCAACATAACCCCCTCCTGGGTCAGGAAGTAAAATCTGCTCCTGAGGAGATACAGATAAAGACAGATGCATCCAGAGTCTCCAAGAAGGTTTCTCATACAACTGTCATGGGAAACTGAGTCCTGACAATACAGGAGAAGCAGAACTCCCAACTTGCTAGATATCAGCTATGCCTAGTTCACGTCCCCTGGAACAGAAGAAGGAATTCTCAGCTGGCAGACGGATGCCCGTCTGGACTTCCTGGACCAGGCGGTGCTAATTACAGCCCAATTCGAAGTCACTGCTTATCCCTTGGGAGGCACAGAGGTCTGGCCATTGCATCTTGCCTTGAGGCCTGGTCTTCGGATGCACCTCCAGCCACAACTTATTTTAAAGCGATGGATTTGTAAACATAAAGTATGAATGTTCAGATTTATTATTTTGAAAAACACTTTGGAGTACATGCCCTCGGATAGGCCTGAAGCTTTTATGGCTTCACCTAGCCCCCTTCCTGGCAGTGTTTCCCACAGGACCTGACTAGGCTCGAGAGTGACTCATCACCTCGCGAAACAGTCAAACTAAGTGAGTTGGAGCTGAGTGTCAGAGGGATGAGAGGACAGAAAGGAGAAGAAAAGAAAAGATGTAGAACAGAGGGAGGTAAGAAAAGAGCACTGAGCATTCCAGGCAGTAGCAGGCTCTGTGACAAATCCTTGAAGGCCTGAAACATAAGGCATTGTGATTATATTGTCTAATCTTTTATAAATGTAATATAGCACACACATGAAAGGATACATTAAATATAAAAGTTCATTCTATTTATGGATACATATTGGATAACATCAAGCCAGGTAACAATCTTAGAACCTTTTGTCTGGTCCCAGAGCACTACAGCCATGCAGCAGAATGACACAACTTCTAGACCCCTTTGCCCTGTGGTGATAAAGTTTCCAGTTAGGATGGGTGTGAAAGACCGAAATTGTTTCTCCCTAAAATTCATATGTTGAGGTGCTAAATCCTATTTTGACTATATTTGGAGTAAGGAGGCCATTAGGGTGAAATAGAATCCTAAGGGTGGAGCATCAGTCCAATGGATTAGAGACCTTAAAGGAGAGATATCAGAGAGCTTCCGATCGTCATCTCTGTGATGTAGGACACAGCGGGAAGGCGGCACCTACCAGCCAGGAAGAGGGTCCCCAAAGGGCGTCACTGGTGCAACATTTAGTTTTTGACCCAGAACCTTCAGAGTGATGAGAAAATAATTTTTGTGGGTTGAACCATCCAGCCTAGGGTATGTTGGTATGGTAGCTGGTGCTGACCCAATACATGGGCTGATTTACTGGAGTCTCCAGCTTTGGTGGATGCTAAAGCTTACCTTATCTCTTTCTAGTTTCCAAGATTGCCAGGAGACTCAGCTTATTTTTTGCCACAACTTTATTTTTTAGATGAGCAAAAAAACACCAGAGCAAAAATTAGCTTTTATTTTTGTGGGATCTGTCTTCTAAATTCTGCCCCAGTAATTCCTCAGTATCTGGTTATCTCTTTGATGTTTCTAAAAAGCAACTACTATCATCATCCTCATCATCCTCATTTTAAATATTTTGTCCAAGTCTTTTGCTTATTCTCAGTATCAGTGTGAGTATAAATTACCCAGATTATAATTATTAGGAGGAAGTTTGTCATTGTATTTTTCAAATGCAGAAATTGAAGTTCAAAGAGAATTGTCCGCCCAGTAGAACCTCTGTATGAGTCTAACTTGTTTTTGTTCTATTTTTTAAAATTCTGCTTTGTTACAAATACTGAAAAATTAATTTAGTAAGATTTGACTAGAAGGTTATTGTGTTCAGTAAAAATGGTAGGACTCGATTTTTTATTTGTCAGTTACTTGCCTTCTTCTTATATTTCACCTTGGTTCACAACATTCCTTACTCCACCAACCCTACTTAGTAAAGACCAGAACAAAGAAGATTAATGAAGGCTGCTGCTGCTGGTGGTGTCTTCATACTCTGTAGAGCAAAGAAAACTGCATTTTAAAATCATGTATCCAGGTAAAATTCTGGAATTTATCTCCAAAGGAGTACTTATCCAATGTTATCTTATTAATCCTCACAATATGATTGTGGTGACTATTTTATAATGGTTCCAATTTATTAGTAGGAAGCGAATAAACTTGACTAGAATCTTTATTTTAAAAATTCTCCTTTTTGGATTCCCTGGCTCCTACATACATATCTGGCTGCCTCTTTATATTGAAAACTTTGGAATTTGGGTAGTATATTAGTTTGCTAGAACTACCACAACAAGATACCATACCCCAGTGGCTTTCTACAGCAGACACTTGTTCTGTTACCTCCTGGAGGCTGGAGGTCAAAGTACTAGCAGGCCTCTCTTTTGTTTCTCAGATGGCCACTTTCTTTACTGTGTCCCTGACATGTGGTGTATCTCCTCATCTTGTCTTTGTATAAGGACCAGTCCTGTAGGGTAAGGACTCACCTTAATGACCCATTTTAACTTAGTTACTCCTTTCAAGGTCAAATCCCATGGTGCCGGGGCCAGGGCTTCAAAGCAGGAATTTCAGGGGAACACAATTAACCAGAGCACTCAATGGGACATTCAAAGGTAAGACTTTATATGAACATTCTCTAACGATACTCTGTAAAAGAAGTGGGTAAAGAGATGTTTTTATTTGTTTTTGTTTTTTTGGCAGTACCAGGGATCAAACTCAGGACCTTGTGCTTACCAAGCAGGCGTAGTGCTGCTGAGCTACTTCCCCTGCAAAGAGATGTTTTTAAAGGGTAGTGTTAGGGTGGTACCTACAAGGTCAGGAAAAAATTTCTTCTAGCTTTATACAAAACAAAATATCAAAATGGAACAGCAAACTCAATAAAACCAGGCTGACCATACAAAACTGCTGTTTGGTACATAGGGATAATTGTGATAAGGGTCTTTGATTTCATTTATGTGAGGAGTTATCCCAATTGTGCGCTGCGCACTTTAGTAATAAATGAGTGGCTGAACTGCAAACTATGTCAAATGCTCAAGCGCCCTATGCTTTGGAATTAGAGAACTAGACAATAAAGTCTCTTCTCTAGCGCTCCAAGGAGAACAGGTAGTCAGCCGCAGACTGACAGAATCTACCTCAGGCCAGACAGCTTTCATTCTTCTAAAAAGAATTCATGAAGCATTTTCCCTAAAACATAAAAAAACCACACCTCCTCTTGTCTAAATCCTACCTGTGCTTAGTACCCGCACACTTTCATCCCCACTTTCCTGAGCTTTTCACAGGAAAGCTCACCATACAAAGCTCCCGGAAGCGGGAAGCTCACACTGCCGCTTTGGGCCTCCTTCATAGCTGCAGACTGAAGTTTCTGTTAGGAAAGCTGAGAGATCACAATGGCAGGAGGGGAGCTTCGCTGTGGGACTGATAAATGCAGCTCTAACAAGGTCTGGTACTTAACACCCGAGGGAAAAACGAGGCTGTGTGAATCATAACACCCCAACAGTTTCTAGCCTGAGTCCAGGAAAGTCAGGCCCTTTCCAGGCTTGGAGGCCGTGAGCTCTGCGGTGCAGGCCCAGGAGAGCCTGGATTCAGTCGTGGATCGCAGTAATTTACGGCTGCTGTGTTATTTTTACCAAGCAGTGTTCCCTTTGGTTTCTGTTGTGAGTCTGTGAGACACTTCACTTTCTTAGAGATGTTTGTATCTCTACGGGGCAGTTTAGAGTTCAGACAAAGAACCTTCCAGTGACCACGAATAGAAACCCACAGGTGGTAGAGGGTAGAGGGTGGTGAGTGGGCCGGGGTTTTGGCTCAGTGGTTTCGGTGCCTGCCTCGCAAGCTCAAGGACCTGAGTTCAATCCCAGGTACCAAAAAACAAAACAAAAAAAACCAGGCAGCGCTGCTCCATCAGAGGCTAAACTGCATCATCCTCCTCTCCCCGCGCTGGCGTTCAGGGGACGTGGGGCCTAGGCTGACACACAGCAGGGTCGCAGCAGAAGTGACTGAGGTTCTCAGAAATGCGTTTGTTGCAATGTAGCTTGTGTCCAGGTAACGCCCTAGCAGCTCAAGGCTGGAGGCCAACAACCCTCTGCTGTGCTGTTCTGACTCCGCGCATGGCTGTGCTGCCCTCGCTGGTGCGCAGCTTTCACCGGAGCCCAGTGAGGGTGACGCCGCGTCTCCCCCATTGCTAACACTGCAGCGTTGTACGGCTCGTGTGATGCTCGAACAGCGGGAACGAGAAAGTCTGAATTTTGAAAAACATTTCTGGTTTCTGTCTTTTAGGAAATAATTTTCCGCCGCAGTAAGTCTCGGATGGACAGGAATCCAGGCTGAAGCGTATTCCAGAAGCCGATGTGTAACATATAAAGCACGGCCTCTGCTCCCAGAGTCTGAATTCTGCCCCCACTTGGCCCTAGCCTGAAGCCTCAGGGGAGCTGCGAGTTCGCAGAGGAGGCGCAGTCACCCCAGAGACCGCGCTCCTGGGCAGGAGACGGCAGCCAGGCACAGAGGGCAGTTGAAGCTCCGAGGCAGACTGGACCTGGTGGGGAACTGCAGTACTGCGCATAGAAATTCAGCCAAACGCTCGTTTTCTGATAAGAAAAAAATTGTAGGGTTTTCCTATAAGGTAGAATTCAAAGAGCCACAGAAAGACATGAAAAAAATTGGGTGTTTCAAGAGAACGGAATATGAAACTGCTCCCCCTACGCTGAGGGTCACTGAGGACGTTGCAGAGACAGCAGTCAGCCCTGCACGTTTTGGCCCTGGATTCCACACTTCCTACCATGAAGGATGGCTCTGGCTTTGCTGACCTCTAGGGCATGTGTATTAAAGAACTAATACTAACACATCTCTGTTTTGTTCTTTTTTTTTTCTGATGAAAATGTGGTAGTTTTACCTCCAGTTGTGCTTTTAAAATCTTAACTGTTCTGCCGAATAGTCATTGATTATAGATCTTTATTCTCATTAATTTCCTTGTTCTTTTCCTTATAAATAATCAAATCAACACTACCTTGACATGTGAGAAATATATAATTGACCAGCTAAGACTATTTTAGGAATCTTTTGAGTGTTTTTATATAGTTTATGAAAGAAAAATTCTTTGAGACAGGGTCTTACTATGTACTTCAGGTGGGCTTTGTACTGATTATGTAGCCCCGGCTGGCCTCAAATTCATGGCAACCCTCCTGTTACAGCCTCCTGAGTGCTGGGATTACAGGCAGGTGCCACCATGCTCAGCTAGAAAAGTTTTAAAGAAGAAAACTTTACCAACATTCAAAGCTTCACAATTTTAATTAGACACTACAATTATTTTCTTAAATTTAATACTTTTCTGGAATGAGGAGGAAAAAAAACTGAAATCTATCCCTTTGAGTCAACACTTTATATTTTAACATGCTTGTAATGTTTGAACAGTGAACTGGTGAGGCTAGTTTTAAACAACTAGTCATGATTTCTCAATTTCTTTTTTTGAGGGGCTGATGTTAATGGCTGTGTATAAATTGTTTAATGAAAATGTTGGCAAAGTACAGTCTGTGGGCCCAGTGTGGCTTTTTTGTGTATAGTTCGAGAATTAAAAATGGTTTTTACATTTTAAAATGCTGTAAGAAAAACAAACAAAATTTGCTACAGTAACTACATGTGTCCCCCAGACCTAAAATATTTACTATTTGGATGTTTACAGGAAAAGACTTCTGGCCCCTAGTCCAAATTGTTATACAACATATTGCTTTATAATTCCCATCAGTGGCCTCCTTTCTGTCTGCTTCTGTGAAGGAACCAGACAGTCACATTACCGTGAATTCAGGACAGCTCATGGACAAAGTAGGGGTTGGTTTAACAAGCAAACAAACAAGATAAATTGTTACCCATAGATAAAAAATCCCTGTGACCCTTCCTAGCTGTTTCATGGCTTATTGTCGCAGCGTTTCTCCCACCTTTAGCTTTTCTGCCAACCAGAATCCACCTATGCTGACCTCAAGTAGAATTTTGTTCTCCAGAGCTGTGATTAATCTGTAATGTCATTCAATAATAAGCCCCATTAATGGATGGTAAAGGAAAACAAAACTGAAATTTGGCATACCAATTGGCGCTCAAAATGTGGAAATCCTTTCACGGTGAGAAAGAAGGCATAAAAGGAGCTCAGTAATGAATCAGTTAGAAAAAAAAGCCTTTGGCTTTTAAAATGGAAATAGAGAAGGGCAATTTGCGTGTTGGGGATTTATAATTTGCTACTTGTCTGGCTTTTTCCTTATGTGGAAATGAATGTGTGAAAAACATTTTTTTTTTTTTTTCAAAATGTGGAAATCCTTTCACGGTGAGAAAGAAGGCATAAAAGGAGCTCAGTAATGAATCAGTTAGAAAAAAAAGCCTTTGGCTTTTAAAATGGAAATAGAGAAGGGCAATTTGCGTGTTGGGGATTTATAATTTGCTACTTGTCTGGCTTTTTCCTTATGTGGAAATGAATGTGTGAAAAACATTTTTTTTTTTTTTCAGGAAAAAAATTTTCTTTTTCCTGATTGGTAAGGTGATTTACCCTTACAGTCAGGAACAGGGCTCCTGCTGACACGCTGGCCACAGCTTGGTGACCTTTGTTTGTACTGCTGCATACAGGAAAATTTTTCCCATTAACTAAAGAAAGGAAAATAGTCCTGCCCAGAGCTCGGGCAGTAACTGAAGATAAATGACCTGGGGTTAGGCCGTTTTACAACAAACAAAGCACAGGTCATTTATATTTTCACCTCTCATCAGACTCCCTGGGTCTGAGTTTTTTCTTTTTGTTTTTCCCCTTGGGGCTATCTGAAAGTGTCCTCTGTTTTCAGAAGCCTACAATAAAACAATTATATGTGTGTATGCTATTAAATTATTAGGTCTTAGTCCTGAATAGGTTACATCTTGTTTCATTACATTTGTGTTGGTGTCAGTTGCTTATATTTATTTGATAACAAGTCTAATTGAGAAAATAAAGGATTCAAGTAATAGATTTTACATAGACATGCAGTTTGCACAGGTTACTTTGAAAGATCCCTTAGGACTTTGTGAGATTGTACAGCCAGCCACAGAATCATTATTGGGATACTTCCCCTTGTCCGGCTCTGGAGGGTTCTTGGCTGTCACATGGCTTTGCAGAAATGCATGACCCTGTTTTCTAGCTCAGGGGCCCCTTCCCAGAGCATTGGCCATAGCCCCACAGCTGACCTTTGGGGAAGGGGCATTACCCACTTCCTGGCTGCCAGCGGACAATATCTTTGATCCTTCTTTTAAGAAAGCAAATCTCAGGGATGGATTCCCAGTCAAAAGAAGTCAGAAGAAAGAAAGAGATTAAAACAAAATAAAAATATAAAGCAATTTTGATAATTTAAAGCTGCAAATTCTGACCTGTCTCACTTACTACCCAGTAAACTTTTCAATGTAGAAGGATATTGTTACAAAATATGTGATTAGCAGATCAGCTATTCACTTTGGATCGAATTAAAATGTCTCATTTGTTTCTCATGTGTTATCTATAGAATGAAGCAAGCAAATCCAAGAGGAAAGAAAAATTTCAGTTTGTTTTGGGTGACTTTAAGATAACGCATTCAAATGGCCCTACCACTATTAATCTAGTGACTGGTGCCCACAGTCTGCTGTAGATTGTGTCCCCCAAAAAGCTTATGTGGGAAACTTAATCCCCAGTGGAATAGTGATGGAAGATGGGATCCTATGAGAGTATTTAGGTCATGAGAAACCCACACTCAGGAGCAGATGTGTGCCGAATTGAAGGGACTGAGTCCTTGAGTTGGTCTCCAACTCCTGCTGTGTCTCTCTGTTTTGCCTCTCTTTGTTTGTCTTTCTTTGCCCACTGGTATGACACCTTGTCTTCTGCCTTTCACTCTGGAATGAGGTACCACAAACATCCTCACCAGCATCCTCCATGCTGGGCCTTCAGCCTTCAACTCTCTAGCTTTCACAACTGTAAGAAATACTTTTATTTATTTATTTTTAAATAAGCTGTCAGGCATTCTGTTCTAGTACCACAAAACCAACTAAGATACCACCTGTGCGCTGCGAGGCTGTTTGCTGTGAAATGAAGAACAATGCACAGGGATTACAGTACTGTCTGGAGGGTTGAGGGTCAGCACCAAGCACCCTCATCCCTTCCTAAACTCAGCACTTATGCAGAAAGACAAATTGCAAGAAACAGGGGTCTGTTGGGGAGCCTGGTCCGTCAGCAAGGTTGGTGTGCTTGTCCTTCAGACATTGGCTGCCAGGGCCAGCTGTAGGTTCCTTTACAGCAGCTCGCCGGGGAAGCTCTCAGAGCTTGGATGGGCAGAGCGGGTGGGCAGATCTGAACAACAAGTTTGTCCCTGCAAGCCCAGCCCAGAGCACACACTGCTCCTTCCAAGGCAGAGGGCCTGGGGCCAGGGAAACCAATAGGGCAGAGTTGCACCAAGGCAGGCTCAGGCACTGCCTATATTTAAAATTTTATAATTTTGTTTGTCATAATTTTTTTTTTTTTGGTCTTGATTTTGACTTTTAAAACATTGCACTGTAATAGGTATATTTATTGCTTATTTTTGAGCCTCCTCAAATTTTGCATTCATGGTGAGCACCCCAGTCACCTAGCCAGGCCCTGTCCTGCAAGAAGCTCAAAGGAGGAGAATGGAGACCATTCCTTAAAGGGCTGTCAGGGGATACAGTTCCAAGCTGGTTGGATGTTTGGTTGCTTAATACCAAGTCACAGATGTGCTCAGATACAAAGTAGTCCGGGAAGCTTCTTTTTCTTTATTTTGCTTATTATGTTAGATTTCTCTTGTGAGAAGAGAAAAACCAAAAGCCGAAGAAGCATCAGAAATGGCAAACAGAGATACCGAAGCATGCTGCCACTTACGGCTGGTTTTCGGTCTTCAGAAACAAGTGGTTACTGAAAGAGCGTGCCTTGATCTCCCTTAATTAAGATTCAAAACTATCAAAATGCATAAAAACATAACCCAAAGTGTCAATGCAGAGTTGGATTTGTGGAATTGAATGCATGGATGTGCTTAGCCAGGTGTCCTTGCTGTGTCCATCAGAAGGACAGAAGCACCGCTCGTTCTGTGACCTGCGTGTGCCTGCCCTCGGAATTCACAACACATTCCAGTGGAATCAGAGCCTAGCTGGCTTGGTGTTTACTCTGAAGAGAGCATATTTGCACCTCATTTTTCTTCTCTTCAGTTTGTTTACAGCTTTCGCACACAGGAAGAGACTAGACAGTCTCTCTTTGCAGGGTCAGGAACTTTACGTCTGGGAAGTTAATTATCAGGAGATTGTAAACCAGCCCCTCAGGCTCCATGTCTGTGTCCCTGACCTTTGCCAAGGGCAGAGCCACCACAGACAAGATAAGATATGCAAATAATGGGCCTAACTTCAACAGCTCTGTTAGCTTGTGTTCTGATGGTGGCAGGGAGATATTCATTCTAAATCATTTTGGTGGACTGGAGTGAGCTTTATTCCAAAAGAAGAATAGTCCAGTATTAAAATCATGACCCGATTAACTGGCATCTTAAATTTTCACACTATGTTTACCAGTAATGGACAATATTTCACGTTTGAAGGTGAGCTAAGCAAATCATTAGATCAAATTTATGAATTGCATAGTTATGTGAGTTTGGTAATTCAAAAACATTATTTCTGGTGAATAGGTTGTTCAACTCAGAGTAAGATCCAATAGCATGGCCACAGGACTAGAATCGCAAAAGTTTAACAATGCAAAAGAATTATTCTAGGTCTATAGTTTAGTTCTCGATGATTTTCACAAACCAAACTTCTAGAACTCTTGGTTTAGACCTAGATGTCCCACAAAAGACTTATAGTTTTATAGGTGGGTCTTCTGGAAAGTGATTAGATCACCGGACACTGTACTGATCAGTAGATGAACACAGCGATGAGTTCTTAGGAAATGGGGCCACACGGGACAGGACCTGGGAGGGCACAGAGTTGCCTCTGGCCTCTCCCTTTCTCTGTGGCTCTTGCTTACTGTTTGCTCCTGCAAGTTGAGAAGCATTCCTCAACCACACCTTGCTGCTGTGATGTTTCTGCCTTGGAGGTGGCCAGTCACATCCGCAAGTCTATGAAATTATGGGCCAAATAAACGTCTTTCTTAAGTGGTGGTGCCCGGTGTTCTGTCTCAGCGACACAAGGCTGACCAACATACCTGTGCTGTGCAGTGTGGTGGTCACTTACCACCCGTGGCCTCCGTGCATTTAAGATACACATAAGTGTAAAATTCATGTAGGAGTTAAAAACTTAGTTGAAACAAGACTGTGGACGCAATTGGTTAAATTATGTATGTTATCAAAATGTTAAATAATACTACTAGAGGGGTGAAAACTAGGGAATAGTTCACATTCTGTTTCCCCTGCAGGGATGGTCTAGGTGTGTGGGAGGCAAACACTGTGGAGAGGGACTGATAATGTTTTGTGCATTTATAGTGCCTTTGAAGTATTTTAGAAGCAGCATTAACTTACACAAGTCCCTGTGAGGAGAATAGGAAATACCTCTTACTAGACTCTCAAGGAAAACAACATCAAAGGATGTGGTCATCTTGCCTATGATTCAGGAATCAGAGACAACCTTGGGCACATGCTTCAGCAGGCAGAACATTCAGGGTCAGCTGTTTCCCCTGTTACTAATTCCTCCTCAGGGTTAGTTTGAAAACAGAAAAATCTTCACGTAGGCATAGGGTGTGGCTGTAGATGCTGGATTTCAGGTGCAGGCAGTGATTTTCCTAGAATACCTACTGGAGAGGAGAGCCTCAGTAAATGTGGGCCTAACTGAGATAAGAGCATGTGGGTTTAAATTAACAGCCTCATGTTGTAGAGTTATTGCTGGCTATGAGAAGGGCTATGATGGATTAGAAGAAAAGGACCAGATATATGGGGTTTCAATTCTCTTACAAATCTCACCATGATTAGAGAGCAGAGTTCTCTTCCTCCAATGCTGCCTTAGCTACGAGATGTCCTGGATGCATGGTTCCACATTCCTCCTTTCTTTGTCCTTCAAGGAGCAGAAATAAAACATTTAGTATGTAGGAAATTATTATACAAGAAGACCTACTTTTACTGGGATAATCTGTGTGAAATAACCTAATTGGAAAGCTCTTGTCTAAAGTGACGGTAGGATATTCAACTTGAACATACCCTTTAAAAAACTTCCATACCATAAGGCATAGATGGTACCCAGAAGAGTAATGACCCTTATCATGTGCAATATTAGGGTCTAAGGTGGCTTTGGTACCCGACTGATTCTAACAAAATGGCAAAATGATCAGTTTCTATAGTAGCTGCTTAAAAGATAGCGTCCTCTGCTGCTCTGTGGGAACATATGAGGCCTTTTGCATTGCTATTATTAGTTTGAAAACAAACTGGTGACCAGTATATTGTCTGACACCTGCTCTGTGACTGTCAGTGGTGGCTTTAGTGCTGGATCCCTGATCACATGTGGCAGTTCATTTTGTCCCCTTTAAGGGTTCTGATCATGCCTCCTTCCTAAATCACTTCTGGACACACGTGGTCTCTTTTATGAGATGGGCCTTTTTTCACCCCATTGTGGAGACGTGGTAAGTCACACAATAATATACAGCTCTGGGATTTGGCAATTCCCTTAGAAAATGGACGTCTTCAAATTCTTGGTGGAGAACGTCTGAACAAGCACAAAAACATCTACAGCCCATAATTGCTAGTTTGGCTCTTTGTGGGTTAGATTTCAAACTTTGACTCCCCTACCCCCACCGAAGCCAGTGCTCTTATAAATACAACACAAATTCTCATACACTGTAATTATTGTGGTCAGTTATGCTAGACCAAGCACATAGTTTTTCCTCAAACATTTTCATAAGCAAGGAAAACTTGCCTCCATGACTCATTTTTAGGGATGAACTCACAAGTTTGGGTCATATGAGAGTTGGCTCACTGTATTTTTCTCCTACATTTAAGTTGTATTGTTATATACTGAAAGCAAACTAAATTAACTCTATTACCTTGATTGGAACCAGATGAAAAAAAAGTCAGTGATTTTAAATTCTGGGGATATCTTTATACTGAGCAGATCTCTTCTTCATTAACTATCATATGACCAAATACTTTTTTTTTTCCATTAAGTTTATTGGTACATTTTAAGTATATAGTACAGTTATATTCATCATTGGGATATTGTGCCTTTACATGACAGATCTTGGTTCCTATTTTTTTCCCATTTCCCTGCTCTCTCTTCACCCCCTCCACCCTCCCCTATTTACAAAGACTTTGTTTCCATATTTTCTGTTTCTCATAGTTTTTCTTTTTCCTTCTTTCCTTTCCCCTACCCTTCCCACTTCCCCTACTCTTTTAGAACTTTTCTTCCTATTTCACAATATCAATTATACATTTTGATCCTTATTTATGCTTTTAGTTTTTCACACCAGAGAAACTATTCAGTATTTACACGTTTGTCCTTTTTTATTTCACTTAAAGAGAATGCCCTCAATGTGACCAGATACTTTCTAATATAATGTCATTTGTTGTTCTGAGATTTATGGCAGTATCATTTAAAAAAACAAAAATTCACTTATTTTAAGTGTACAACTAACTCAATTACTTTTTAGAGTAAATTTGTATAGCGAGGCAACAAGCACCACATTCCAGTTTTGGAACATTTCCAATACTCCTGAAAATTTCCTTGTACATGTTTGTAGTTAATCTTCACCCCAATCCTACCCCAATTCTCAGCAATTACTGATCTGCATTTTTCGTTATGAATTTGCCTTTGATCATTTAGTAATTATGCTTCTTGTCTGTGCCTTCTTAGGGATTCAGTTATGTTGAAGCATTACCAGCAGTGCTGTCCATTTTGTTGCCAAATAATATTCCTCTGCATGGATTTCCACTTTTCTTCAATACATTTATCACCTGATGGACATTTGAGTTGTTTCCAGCTTGGGGATACTCTGAATAACGCTGCTAGGGACATTTATTTTCATGTTTTTGTGTGGACATATGTTTTCATTTCTCCTGCATGGATGCTCAGGAATTGAATTGCTCTGCTGTATTCTAAGTTTATGTTCAGCTGTTTAAGAAGCTGCCAAATGTTTATTGAGGTGGATGAGCCATTTGCACTCCGTGATTCGGTGTGAGGGCTCTCATTTCTTCACGTCCTCACCAACTCTTGGTACTAGTTGTCCTTTTGAGTACAGCCATTTGAGCATATAGCCTATCATTCTGATTTTATTTTCATTTTCCTAATGATAAATGAGTATTACTTTATCCTCTTAATTATTTTTGCATCTTCTTTAGTAATATGACTTATGATTTGTTGCTTTTCTAAAAATTGGATATATTCTTAAATATTTTTCATATGTTCTGGATACACATTTGTTATCAAATATGAATTAAAATATTTTATTCTAGGGTTTGGCTTGCTTTCTTATATTAAAAGATGAAGTAATTTTAATTTTTACAAATGCAAAAGTTTTAAAGTTTGGTGAAGTCAAATTGTTTATTTTTTCAAGTGAATTGTTTTGGTGACTAAGAACCCTGGACTAATGCAAGCCATGGAGACTTCTATGCTTTCTCTGGAAGCTTTCTGGTTTATTTGTCTACATTTCAGTCCATGCTCAGCGTGGCGGTATTTTTGAATACTCTCAGAAGTACACTTAGTCTGTTTGAGTTACTGTAATAAAATGAGATGGACTGAATGGCTTATAAACCACAGAAATTCACTTCTCACACTTCCCGAGACTGGAGACCCAAGGTGGTCTTGTGTCAGAGTCCATATCTTGAGAGGCTACTTCTTGCTTCCAGCATGGCTATCTTCTACTTAGAACCTTGCCTGGCTGAAGGGTAAAGGGCCTCTGAGGTGTCTGTTAAAAGTGTCCCTCTCTCTTTTAAAGGGTTCCCCCTTTATAACCTAATGACTTCCAAACATCTCCACTTCCTAACCTACCACAATGGGGACTGGGTTTCAATGTATATTTTAAGGAGACACAGTCTATAGCATGAAATGACATTTATCACAAATAATTTTTTTACACTTATTGAAGTGATAGTGCATTTTCCCCTGTGTTTTACTGATATGGTTTATTATATTAATTGAGTTGCATATCTTGACCACTTGAAGTTTATTCCAGGACTGCAAGTTTAGATCAATATTGAAAATTAATTATATATTTTTGTTTTGTTTTGGTTTTTGTTTGTTTGTTTGGTTTTTTTTCAGACAGGGTCTCACTATGTAGTGAGACTGACCTGGAACTCACTGTGTAGCCCAGACTGGTCTCAAACTCACAGTGATCCTCCTGCCTCAGCCTCCTGAGTACTGAGATTATAGGCCCGGCTTAATTATATATTTTTGGATTCTGTTTGCTTGTGTTTTATTAAGGATTTTTTTTTTTTTGGTCTATGTTCATGAAAAACATTGGTGTATAGTTTGTTCTATTTTCTTTGTGGTTGTGTCTGTCACTTTTGTGTCGGTTTTTATTTACTTGCTGGGAAATAGGATTTGTGGATTTTCTCACTTAATGGAGGTTGGGGAGCTGGGAGTTGTGTCCTGTCTGGAATGCAGTTTTATAGATGAGAAACTCATGAAATTCCATGAAGTACAGTAAAGAAGAAGAGTCCAAGCAAATAATGGGAGGGAAAAAATTTGCCAAGCTAAAAAAGACAAACTTTAATGAGGTGGTCTCACTTTTCACTACCACCATGCAGGAGCCAGCTCAAGGAGGAGTCACTGTTGCCATTGTTGCTGTTTTCACAGCAACAGAACTTTTACCAGTACGCAGGCTCAGCCAGGTGGAGGATGCATTTGATAGTGTGAGCAGCAGCAGCTGGAAGGCTTTCCTCCCTGTCCTCTCTGGCCATAGGCAGCACCAGTGGCTTAACGAAGAGAACTTAATGATCGATTTGCTCTTTGTTTCCTTTTATGACTCTTGGGAAATATCATTTTATCAAAAAGAAGCATAATTTGTCCCCTCCAGAGCTTCTGAATCTGTGTCTGCAACTATAGGTAATCTGTGCGGTTACCTTCTCCTGAGGGACAATGTGAGGTAGGTGTCAGTACTTCTAGAGACATCTCTCCTTAGAGCTCAGTTATTTTCCTCACTGGAAAATAAATCCAAATGCTTTTATAAAACCCTATTAAGGCTGTTTCAGGTACATGTTTGTGGTGGGCAGAGCAATCTTTCTCCCCTCCAAATATTGCATGTCCTAACCTCTAGAAACTGACAGTATGCTAAGTCACATGGAAACAGAAATCAAAGTTGCTAACCAGTAGAGGAAAATGGGGAAGTTACCCTGGATTTTTAAAGAAGACCTCATTTAATTGACAGGTTTTTAAAAGTGGGAAAGGGTGGCAAAAGAGGATGTCAGGGGAAGGCATTAGGACAAGAACTCAGCTTGTTGTGGTTGGCTTTGAAGCTGGAAGAAGACAGAGAGCCACGGGGCATGGGTGGCTTCTAGAACCTGGAAAAGCAAGGAAACAGGTTCTCTTCTGAACCCAGACTGTGGCCCAGGGAGAGTGTGCTGAACTCATGCCAAAGCTATGAGATGGTAACTTTGTATTGTTCAAGCCACTAAGTTGAAAGAAATTTGTTTTGGCCCCAACAAAAAGCTAAAACATACTTTTAGAAAAGAGTTGTTTCCCTTCTATGTTTTCTTTAGCAAGGCTTCCCTCTGTGCACATAGAATGCTCTCTTGGACCTTCTCTGCATCTCTTTCAGTGCCTACTAGATATTAGTAGAGAAGAAATTTTCCCCTACTTCTGATTTCTCCTCTGTGGAAGAGTCTTCCTTTTGCGCAACTCAGTGAGTTTGGGGAGAGGACCTGGGCCCTTTGAGGGCAGCATCTCCTCTTTTAGGCCTGTCAGTCTCCAGGAAGCACTCACTCTGCTCTGGCCTATGACTAGGCAGGAGATCCACCCAGTTCTGGACTGTGGAATCGGACAGTACCCAAGCCACATCCTCATATCTAGCCTTTAGGGGATAAGCTGCTGGAATATCTCTGAATTACTTGCAAACTCAGCGATGCTTA